CCAAAAAAGTACCAGATCGCCCAAGATGAAGACGACCTGGAAGGACATCCCCCCGGTGCCTACTCAGCAGGAGTTTCTGGATATTGTTCTGAGCCGGACCCAGCGCAAGCTGCCAACGCAGATTCGCGCCGGTTTCAAGATCAGCCGTATTCGAGGTTTGTGACTTTTTTGTCTCGATCGCAATAGATAAGATCACTAACATAGACCTCCTCAACAGCTTTCTACACTCGAAAGGTCAAGTTCACACAAGAGACCTTCTCAGAGAAGTTCGGCGCCATCCTCGAGAGTTTCCCTCGTCTGCAGGACATCCACCCTTTCCACAAGGATCTCCTCAACACCCTCTACGATGCCGACCATTTCAGAATCGCCCTCGGTCAGATGTCCACCGCCAAGCATCTGATTGAGACCATCTCCCGCGATTATGTCCGTCTCCTCAAGTACGGCCAGTCTCTGTTCCAGTGCAAGCAGCTCAAGAGGGCCGCTCTCGGTCGCATGGCCACCCTCATTAAGCGACTCAAGGACCCTCTCATGTACCTCGATCAGGTCCGCCAGCATCTCGGACGTCTGCCCTCGATCGACCCCAACACCCGAACACTGCTTATCTGCGGTTACCCCAATGTCGGAAAGTCTAGTTTCCTCAAGAGCGTTACTCGCGCCGATGTCGATGTTCAGCCCTATGCTTTCACCACAAAGAGTCTGTTTGTCGGTCACTTCGACTACAAGTATCTCCGCTTCCAAGCTATCGATACCCCCGGTATTTTGGATCACCCTCTAGAGGAGATGAACACTATTGAGATGCAAAGTATTACTGCCATCGCCCATTTGAGATCCGCCATTATGTACTTTATGGATCTTTCAGAGCAGTGCGGATATACAGTTAGCGCCCAGATTGCTCTCTTCAAGAGCATCAAGCCTCTGTTCTCCAACAAGCTTGTCTTTGTTGTTGTCAACAAGATTGATGTCACCCGACCCGAGGACCTCGAGCCCGAGCTTCAGGCTGAGCTCCAAAGCATCCTCAAGTCTGGTGAGGTCGAGATGCTCCAATTGTCCTGCAACACTCAGGAGGGTGTTCAGGAGGTCAAGAATGCAGCTTGTGAGCGCTTGATCGCTGAGCGTGTTAACCAGAAGCTCAAGGCTGGTACCAACAGCAGCGGAAACATTGGTGGCCGTCTGGCTGATGTTATGTCCCGTATTCACGTTGCTCAGCCCATGGGTGGTCAGACTCTTGAGACTTTCATCCCCGAGGGTGTCAAGGACCGCAAGAAGTATGACAAGACAGACCCCGAGCGCCGAAGACTTGCTCGTGATGAGGAGGAGGAGAACGGTGGTGCTGGTGTCTTCAACGTCGACATGAAGGCTGACTACATGCTCGCCAACCCCGAGTGGAAGTACGACAAGATCCCCGAGATCTACGATGGCAAGAACGTCTACGACTTTATCGATCCCGATATTGAGGCTAAGCTTCAAGCTCTCGAGGAAGAGGAGGAGAAGCTCGAGGCTGAGGGCTTCTACGAGTCTGATGAGGACATTGAGGATGACGAGGAGGCTGAGGTCATGCGCAAGGCGGAGCTGATCCGCGAGAAGCAGCAGCTCATTCGCAACGAGGCCCGCATGAAGAAGCGTCTCAAGAACCAGGCCATCATCCCCCGCAAGCAGATGAAGAAGCCCCTCTCCGAGTTCGAGGATGCCCTCGACCAGCTCGGTGTCGACACCACCGATATTGCCGAGCGTGCTCGCTCAAAATCTCGGCCTCGTGGCCGTTCCACATCTCGCATGGGTACCGAGGACCCCGATGCCATGGATGTCGACGGTGGTCGCAGCAGCACCCCCCGCGAGCGTATGCGCTCCATGAGCCGACCTCGAAGCCGTGCTCCTACTGTCAACCGCCGTGACGATGGTGTCACAGACGAGGCTACTCGATCCAAGGCCGATCGTATCGCCAGGCTCAACCAGAAGCGCATGAACCGCATGGCCCGACAGGGAGAGGGCGATCGACACACCACCGCTTCCATCACCAAGCACTTGGTAAGTTTTGTTTCCATACATATTTATCTCAGAACCGTAGCTAACACATCACTCTCAGGTCGTTGGGAAGCGTGGTATGGGCAAGACAAACCGCAGATAGAGAGCCAACATCAGGCTTCCCTTTCTTCCACCGCGTTTGGTTGTCTTTCTCTCTTTTCCGGCATATTTTCGCGGGTTCGCGGGCTGTGGGTTTGCCTGGGAGTTTGGGCGCATAGGAAAATGGATTGCGATTCCTTCGCTGCGTACGTACGTGCTTGACAAAAACAAAAGAATAGCTTGCATGTCGCGTTGTTGCTTGGGATGAAGAAGCTCTGTCCGAGTTCAGCTAGATAGTAGATATCACGGCGCCTCCTTGAGAAGTACGTACTAGAAAAGGGGCTGCCAAACTTTTCTTTCCTTCTCTTTTTAACAGATCATGATTTATGAAGCATATAAAAGTTTCAATCAAATTTCATATTATCCACCCAAAATATTATTATTTGTGTATACAGTTCAACAATATTCATTTGGCTTGTCGTGTTAGATGCTATCGAAAAGAGGTATAATGAGATTGTGCCCAAGACGCACCATCGGTATCGGCCAATCTTCTGAAAAAGCAAAACAATCCTCCTACCCTGCCGGCTCTGTTACAGTGGTGTGGCCTTGTTACTCTTTTATCCTATTTGCTGGGAAGGTCACTGAGATTCTTTACTGCTCCTCGGCAACCTGGATACCTTCCCTCAAACCCTCAACCTTGAGCTCCTCACCGGTGGCGCGGCGGTAGATGTCCTTGACGTCGTCGGTGGTGGTCTCGAAGTGGCTGGTGGCATCGTAGCTCTTGGAGATGAAGATGTTGTCCTTGGTACCATCCTCGAGAGGCTCGTAGATGGGAATAGGGGGACCCTAGAGATTGTTAGCGTGTATCTTCGTATTTCAACCCAGGTAACTTACCATGAACTGCTCCTCAATCTTACCAAGGCGGTCAAGACCAGCCTGGAGCTCGACGTGGTGGTTAGCTGATGTCTCGGCAATAGTCGAGACAATGGCAATCCAGTAGCCCTTAGGGCAGACGTTGTGGGCGGAAGAAACGCAAGCAATGTAGACGTCTAAGCACAAATGTCAGCAAATATAAATGATCATCGGAATCGGAATAATTACCGTTCTTTCGGCCAACTTGAGACTGGGGAATGATGAGCTGGGCAGAGTCGGCATCGTTGGTACCAGCAAGAGGGTGCTTCAGAATGCAAATAGCTCGGAGGACGTGGCCGATAACCTTGGCCTTGTTGGGGAAGTAGGAGGGGTCACCGAGGATCATCTTGGCCTTGGTCTTGAACTTCATCTCCTCAACACCAGTCATGGTCGCCTCGATGCCAACAGCCTTGTCACCATCGTACTGGATCTCGTCGATGTTGGTGTTGAGCATATAAGTACCACCGTAGATGGCAGACAGACGGGCGAAACCCTGAGGAAGCTCGCCAAGACCGTAGAGAGGGTAGATGTAAGGAGACTTTCCGTATCGGGCGACAGAGTTACCGTACAGGCGGATTCGCTGGATGGCCTCGGGAGCCTGGCCAGGGGTGGTGATGTAATCGTCGGTGAGGTAGAGAGCCATGGCGTGGCCAATGAAGTCCTTTGTGGTGGTCTCGAGGCCGAACTTGTCATAGACGTCCTTCATGGTGCACTTGTTGATATCCAGGCCTAGACAGAGGATTATTGTCAGCAAATTGTCAATGTCTCTTGCGCACATCCTCAGAACTTACCCTTGTGTGTCGCGGGGTCCTTGGGGTCGAAAGTGCCAACCCACTCAATGAAGGACTTCATGCGTCGCTTCTCGAAGATACCCATGAGAGGAGATCGCAGAGCCTCGGCGGCATCAGAGGGCACCTTGGCGACGGTAGCCTTGTTGGAGGCACCCTGCTGGACGTAGCTGCCAGCGACTTGCTTGAACTCGAGGTACCGTGTGACATCGGTAGAAACGAGAATGTTGGTCAACTCGCCGGAGGACATGAGGAACTTGGGGACAAGGTCGATGTTCCAGTCGTTGAGGCGGCCATATTGCTTCCATGGCTCCTCGCCTTCGCGGAAGTTTCCGTACTTCTTGAAGAGCTGTGGTCTTTTGTTAGATATCGGTCTGGCACGATATAGATCGGGAGGTTTGGGTAAGGGTTGCGTACAGTCTCGAGGTTCACGGAAGCTGCCTCACTGGGAATCAGTTAGCTTTTTGCTTATAGAAAAATATTTGCATTTGGAAAGAGACTCACCCGCCATAGTGATCATTGCGGTCGATGTGGAGGACCTTCTTGCCCTTGACACTCAGAACACTGTTGAAGCACAATCAGCCATCACCGCCTTTACATGTGCTATACCGCCTTGCAGCTTGCGCAGGTCCGTAGCGCCCTTTGCGACACGACGAGGCGGTCAAAATCGATGCAGTTTGTCTTACCCAGAAAGAATACACTCGGTCAATCCTGAAAACAGTCAGCATCCGCTTGGGAATACAATAAATCGGCAGCATCAAGCCAAAAGCTCTCTCTGATGCGGGGATCCGCCTTGTGGTGGCAGAAACAGGCGAGGAGGGGGAACAAGAACGTACCAGTGCCCAGCACGATGACGTCGTATTCAGGAGCAATCTCATCCATGATGGCTATTCTCTGGTGTTGACGTTCGATGAACCTTTGGGTAGAATGATAGAGAGATAGGGAGTAAGAAAGAGAAAAGAGGCGGATTAGGATAAAATGGAAGCGAAGCGAGGACGAGACGGGATGGGGAGGGTCGAGAAGCTTAGGTAGGTTGAGGGGAGGTGCGGTGCTGTACGGTTGGCGGTTGCTTGCTTAGTGGCGGGGTCAGTCCCATTTACCTTTTAGTTACCTTACTTTAAGGTACTTTTCTTAGGGGAGGGATCAACTACAACTACAACTACAGCCTAGCTTCAGTGTGGGGACCCTTTTTATGTCTGGACAGTCTGAGTGTGAATATGGTTGACGCCTCTAACAACCAACGTCTTACCCAATTCATGCCATTCTAATCTCACATATCCTCGCCTACAATATCAAATTACATTAAGATGAACGCATGCAACGAGTTTTGCTACTGTTAGACATCCCGTCACCCCCTAATCTCCCCTTCCATCGTGGTCCGCTTCATTATCAAATTTAGCTTAGCAGCCAGATCAATATAAGAGCCCCAGCCACGACCCCAGTATCATCAATGGTTTATTACTATTAGTATATTCAAGACAGGGTCTCTCGGTCGTATCTCCTTTCTTTGCCCCAACTGTTGACCTCCATATTGTTACATCTATGTTTCTGGTTTCTACTCATCTTGGTGGAGTGACCACCCCTTTCATGAGGTAACAAGACCTTGACTTATACGGCATCCAAGCTCATTCCTGTGTTGGGATACAAAGTCAAAAGAGTTTAATATAACTGCAGCTCTCATACGCTTAAGATTGTCATTACGGCTTGAGTCCGTAATCTACGATGTTTGCCAAAACCAATCTTGATTCATCATATGTATTCATGTCAACAGCTCTTAGAGCCCTTATGCTCGCATATACATGTTGGTTTCGTCTACTGTATCTTACATATCCTAGATGTACACGACGAATATGTCAACCTATCCCGAATCGGACATCATAAACCACCACCACCTCTCCCATCACTCAAATAGTACATGACGTCGTCTCGCTTGTAACGGCTGTTTTATTGCTTCTTCAACTCCTTCTCGATCTTGGCCTCCTGGGCTTCTGTGGCAACAGGATCAATCTGCTTGGCCGCCTCTGACTCGGCCTCTGGTTGCGTCCACTCAGCAACATCAACCTCATCTTCATAAGCCGACGGTGTGTAGACTTGACCTTCCGCACCCTCGAAGTTGATCTCGGGGTCGCTCATGGCGACACCGACGGCGTCTTGCCATGTGTAATATCGCTCCGTCAAGACGTGCTTGATGGCTCGCTGTGTCTTCAGGACCTTGCTTCAGTGTCAGCTTCCCGCACATTATATAGCTTCGGAATATCTTACCTCCTCATCTCGAGTATCAATCTCCCGCTCACCGAATCCCATCTTGGATCGAATGAGCTCTTGCCTTGATGTAGATAGCATGTTCCTCTCTCGGCAACACACCCACCACAAAGAGTGTAGATCTTCCCATGACTTCTTTCGTAGCTCCTCGACAGACCATGCACGTCCATGCTCCTCAGTCTCTTTGGGTGTTGCCAATGCCTTTCCTTGTGCTGGGAAGAATCCCCACAGACCATGATCAGGGTCGACCTTGATCCTGGGCTTGAACTGCCGTGGCTTCGGTAGCGGAATGTTTGACATTGACAGAGGCTCGCGAGGTCCTGATCCGTACAGACTACTCACACCTCGCTTGGGGTTATTGTCTTTTGTCTTTCGTTTGCATTGTGGTGCGGTCGTGGAGAAGTAGGCTACTCGAGATGTGGTGGTGGAGACCTTTGATGATGAGGTCTGTACAAGTCGACCGGCCAATGGCCTTATCGTACTGGGAGCAGCCATTGACATTATCGTGCCTGTCGTGGGGATTAGACGAGGCTATTCGCTATCCAGCTCGTCCCACGCATTCGCAAAATTTGGGATGCCGTATCCGTAGCTCGCGGAGCCTCGGGTGTCGGCGTTACGTTGCGCCGACACGATGATAGTCACGTGCTTTGGAGGACCACCCATAACCTCACCGAGTCTCACCTCGAGCCTCACCGAGCCTTACCAAGAGATGGATCTCAACAGTGGGTTCTCTGGGACAGGCGCTTGCAGCAAGCACGGATGCCAAAGTCTGGTACAATGTACATGGTGTTTTGGGGTGGGTGATGCGGGGGAATACTCCAGATGCCCCATCTCATATCCATCTTCTAGAACAAAGCAATTGTTGCCAGTTCCTGACTAGGACCTAGGACGACCACCAAGAGCCACATCAAGGATGCGGGGAGAGATCCATCACCAGGAACGGGCAAGGCATGAAGTTGCTAACATCATCTTGGGCTCCACGTTTGGAGATCACCGCCGGTAGAACGTGCGCCATCCATGGTTGTTTTGATACTACTGCGTCACCAAGAGTTTCAGGTTTCAAGGAAGTATAACAGAAAACAAAGTTATAGGAAACACACAT